AAAGTGCTTCAGAACGGCTTTCGGCCATTACGATTTCCCGTCAACAAGTGTTTCCCAGCAAGCTTGACGCATGCGCAAATATGAAGGCCCGTTCTGGTCAAAATTGCATGATTAATTTTTCCCTCTTGATGAATTAATTTGATGAGTACCTGCTATTAATATTTTGTCTGTTTGTAATTATTTTTTCCTATGCCTGTAATTATTTTCGTGTTCTTTTTAACTTTTCCATGCGTCACAATTATGTTTTCCTCACCAGGAATTAATTTTTTTATGTCCCGTCTTTATTATTACGCTTCTTTGAAATTATTTTTTGTCCATTACACAAATTATTTTACGGTTGCGGATTAGTTTTTGTGTGCTATGATAATTTTTTTTGGATAATTAATTGATTTTGTCCTACGCAACTCATAATATAATGATAATTTAATTTTTTCCATTCGAGAATTATTTTTTTGTTAGTCATAATTATTTTTTCGTAGTTTTGGCAAATGTCCCATAAGCCTCTGCGGTAATGCACCTAAAACAAACATGGCGGCTCGTACTCGTCGGTCACGCCCAGTGGTGTTACGAGAGAGAAATGAACATGGGTTCGCGCTTTTCTTACAGAACCTAAAAAGCGTGATTAATCTGTTGACTAGTGCTGATGAGTTAGAGACAGATGTTCTGATTCAAACGAGGAGTCGATTAGTGGATGCTTCGGGCACGTTGTCATTTCTGCTGAATGACATGTCGAATGGTCTCACAAATGCTACTGGTATTCCGTCAAATGCGATTCAAGTTCCTGTGCAGCACCTGAAGAATTCTTTAAACCACATAATTGATTTGCTTTCAAGTCGGATAGAAGGCCGCAACAATGTAGACTTTTATGACTCACTGGATATATCTTCTTCTGCACCGCTGGATCTTTCACAGACAGGACAAGGTCGTAAACGCTATGAAATAACTAAAGAGCAACTCGAACACTTACGATCACTTTATTTTTCTTGGGAAGCAATTGCTGGCATTCTTCAGGTTAGTCTTTCAACCCTTCAGCGGCGACGAAGAGAACTCGGTGTGAACACCCCAGCCTATTCAGAAATATCAGATGACGAACTGGATGAAATTTACAGAAGCGTAACTGGCAGTTCAAGCACGGGACCCCTTACCCCCAACATTGGTAGGAGACGATTTATAGGAGCCCTGGGGAGTAGAGGCTGGAGCATTCAAAGATGGATAGTAAGTGATTGTTTAAGACGTATGGATCCTGTTGGAACTGCCCTGCGCTGGAGAATGACTATTCACCGTAGAAAATATTATGTACCAACCCCTAACAGCCTATGGCATATAGATTCGGGCCACAAATTAATAAGGTACAAGTTGATAACACACGTCTGTATTGATGGGAAAACAAGGTTAATTTTGTATGCTGCTTGCAGAGACAATAACAAAGCAGAAACAGTCCTTTCTTTGTTTCAAAATGCGGTGCAGAAATGGGGGTTACCCTCACACGTCCGATGTGACTACGGTATGGAGAATTATCATGTTGGTGCCTACATGATACAGCACCGCGGACCAGGCAGAGGCAGCATCATTACTGGATCATCTGTCCATAACTCTCGAGTTGAGAGAACACATCGTGATGTCTATTCTGGGGTGTTAGCATTCTATTCCCGTGTTTTTCAACAACTGGAAGATGAAGGCAACCTAGATGTCCTAAATGATGTTCATATTTTCAGCTCACATCACATCTACATTCCAAGAATACAGAATTCTCTAGAGGAGCTTGTCAGTCAAATGAATAATTGGCCGGTATCAACTGAACGAAACCATTCACCACTTCAAATGTGGGAGAGGGGTATGTTAGAGAACTTGCGCTCTGGACATACTGCACTGAGTGAGGCTGAGACTGAACATTTGGGGGTAGATCCAGATGGTGTGCTTTCAGTGGAGGTTGAGGAGTATCAGATAGAGATTGATCCACCATTGGTCAGCCTTTCAGAAGAACAGAAAGGAGAACTTCCAGATCCTCTCACAAATGATGGAAACAGTGGAAAAGATATTTACTTGCAATGCATTGAGGTCATTCATGGATTTCTTTGCTCTAGTTAAGTATTCTAGGGTGAATTGAACCAATCACACAAACACTATTGTTGTATTACTTTGGGCGATGTAAATCCCAAATGGGTCCATACTTGTATACTTCAGCAAGATTGCTATTGACAGTTGTTATTTGTACACTCAAATTGCATTTGTACTGTATTTTAATTATTACACTACATGCACAGTAAAAATCCCATTTCAAAAATTCCAAGGTACAAAGTGGCCTGCAAGCCATACTAAGGATGCCATTGCCCCTGTTTTTTTTTGTGTGTGTGGTTATTAGGGCCATTGTTGTTGAGAATTTCCTCAGATTAATGGACTGTCTACCTTTTACCAGTTCTACCAGTGAAAAACAGAAAACTGAAGTTTTGGTAAAATGATGTTGTCTATTAAAAGGCCTCACTTTAGAATATGTTATTAAATACTTTTAATTGTCCAAGTATGTCTCACTGTTGAGTCTCATGGGGAAATTACACTGTATCAGGAATCAATCATCAGCGATGCAATTTTATTTATTATGCTTATGCACTTAACCATCTCCTGGGGGAGACCTCAGGCAAGTACAGTGTTGTATGGAGACTTTCAGTGAGATTTGAAGAACAATAATATTATTTTACCCTGAAGGTTGGGGAAATGAAGGAGTTTTAGTATCCAAAAGTTATGCACTGCATGGACTTATATATGTCTGATTTAGGTAGTGTGATTAGGGCTAATTGTGTTTTAATCTGTTGTGTGCCTGTATAGTCGCCAGGAGGTACTCCTCGCAATTCTTGGTGGGGATGTGCCACTGGTTCTTGAAACCCTGAGCCTATTTGAGACTAAAATTGCCACTTTTCCACATGCATGTTAAGACCCAACCTCATGTGAACAAGAATAAGCTGTGAAACTTGAATGATATGTTTTACTCGGTTCTCTGTCTTGTTAATTCAGTTTGGGTTGAAAACGTTTACATTTGTTTGTTTTACTTCCAAACCGGGTATAAACCATACTCCAGTTAAAACCATAATGTGAAATCCTATGCACATTTTAAGACCAAAACGACTTCTTAAGGGCGGCACATACCTATATTGCCTATATAGGAGACCCCCCTCCCCCCTCCTTGTATAGTTTTACCACACAAAGACTGAAATGGTTGCCACTATTGTTATAGACATTCTGTAAGTGCTAATCCAATCCCTAGTGGTACTTCATATTAGAAGCAAGGCCACACAGTGACAATCTAGCCATGTGGCAAGTTGAAAAATCAAAATAATATTGTTGAAAAACGCGTTCCCAATTATCTTTTTGTTATTATATTGTATTGTTCACAACAAATGAGAATAATTTCACAGTTAAAAACGTAATTTACATGATCAAACTTTACTTGTTAGTCAAGTCAAGAAAGCTCTATTATGGTACCGTTTTGTACTCTGGAGTGTTTTCATGTTGCTGAACATGATCCCCCTCTGGGAGGGGGGATTTGATTGCCTGGACAACCCCATAAACAGCATCCTACACTAACTCCCTTCGCTTCCCTGGGTTTCCCTAAGGGATGGGTAGTGATAGTGCAGTACCTTGAACTCAGACTACTGTCAATCCTACATAAAATCAGTGAAACCAAAAGGTTATTGTTTTTGGTGGGAGGGTGATTGAGTTCCACATTAAATCACTTTAACTATTTAAAAAAGAGGATGAAACAAGTGTCCTTTGCTTGGTACATAATGTAGTGGGAAGGTTTTCCCCCTCAAATGTTCTCAATTGTTACAATGAACATTCTTTTTCATCTCTTGAGTCCTTGCTTTAAGGGTTCAAGGTGACTGTTATGTAGTGTTTATTTAAGGTAAATTATATGACAACACACAGACAAATCAACATGTTTATTAACCTATATGACTAACAGTAACAAAACATTCCTTGAAGAAAGGAGTGTCTTTAAGGACACTAATCAATGATGCTGGTCACTGAAACTGTCATACTTAATATTAAGCAAGCTCCTATGAAAAAGTACTTTCCTTTCAAAATAAGAGGAGTTGCAAAAAGTATGTATCTCCACCCTTGGCAAATAACTGACCCACAAAATAATAACAAAAATGACATTGTCAGTGAAAAACTTTAAATTCAATTTCTTAAAAAATTTTAAGAATAATATATCTTTACTTGCATTAATGAAGACAACTCACCTTACTAAATTTGGTGACTTTTTGATAACATAAATCAATAAAGCAATCTAGGCTTGTAACTCTAAACCATTTTACTTTTTGCCAAAGTAACACTGCGAGAATGCCCAGTCATACAGGGCAAAGAGTCTCTGGGTAGAGGGCAAAGGCAATGCATCAGTCGGCCTTGGAACCTGAAGTAAATTGGTGCAGGTATGAGCTAGAGGCAGGAAGCCACCCTCCACATTTGGGTGTTGCCCTTCACTAAGTCCTTGCTGACTTGTAACTTTCAATTCTGTGGGTAATATGAACTCCAACGACGGAGCAAGTGTAAAACCAAGGACGGGTTCCTCTGGTCAACCAGTGGCAAATTGAAGAATATGACTCAAATTAAGGGTAGTCTTTCCACATACCCTCCTGGAAGCTGCTACTTCACGAACATATCTAACAAAGAGTTGATAAACTTTTTTTCCTTTTTGAGTGCATTAGACCCCTCCTCTGAAAACTGTGGCTTCAAAATGTGAAGCAGCATTTGCACTCCAAGCTTCTGCTGTCCTTGAGGTCTCAGGAGATGAATCAACATTGGCAGCTCCTGAAGGGCTGATAACATTCCCAGCACTTCGAGACCTTGTTGAAGTTTGGCAACACAAGGATTCAAACAAACGCTTTCAGAAACAATTTGCTGCAGAATATCCTCCTCTACAAACAAAGGCAGCTGGCCATTTTGAAGCATGGCTATTGCCATCATTATTCCAACATCAAAATAATCTTCTGCCAACAATGGCCTTAAACCATGGTCAAAGTATTTTTTTGTTTTATGGCTTGGTTCATTAATCTTATCCATTCTTTTCGTGGCCCATCATAATCTACACATTCCTCTCCCATAAAGTCCACCTGGAATGTTAGTCTGTAGTTGGATATATATTGAAGTTCAGCAAATGTGGTGTCTAGTATATTGTCTCTGTCGACTGTTATGTAATTTGTTTCTCCTTCAATGGTGTCTTCTGAGCTTGTGACTTCTAAGGGTCTTCCAGTTACTATCTCCTTCAATTCTGTAGATATTTGAGCACTTTTACGGGGTCACTCAACTCTCCCTCTTTAGCACCCCTGATAATTGACTTAATGTTCAAAGAACTTGATTGTGACTGACTCTCATTGGCATTGAGTGTTGAACTTTCGTCTGGATTAGAGGATTCAGTGCCATTTGCTGAGTTTTGACGAGACAATCCTACTCCATCTGGAGCATCGGTCAAGTCTATACACAAGCCTGGATCACCCGGATCACCTGTGTCTTCAACAGCAAAAGGAGAAACTAAAAGTTTTTTATCACTAGGATCCATGAAAGAATCTGGTAGCTCCTCTAGCAGTCTAAGATATACCCATCCTGATGGGGCAATTGATTTGAGTAGTAGCTTAGCATCAATGTCTTTTCCTGCAGGGAGATTTGGTCTTATCAGGGTGCCGCCACTATTCTTGACGATTTCAAAATACAGTCCCTCCATATAACCTGGTAGTAAACGTGATATTTCGTTGTGAAGTGTTTTGGCATCCCACTTTCTATTGATGTCAAAACCCGAAATGATTCTGCCGGATCTTTCCAATTCAGCTTTCTCGGATTTTGTTGGTATTTTCTCTCTTCCAAAATCCAAGATTACAATATCTTTCGAGACTGTTTCAGACGTCAATGGTCTCCCAACTGTGCGTCTTACGTTAGGATACGGTCGGAAAGTTTTGGATCTTTCATACCTTCCTGTTGCAGCATTCCTGCTTGACCTTGCTGAAACTGTTGGGAATCGCGTTCGTAATTCCTCCAAAGCAGTACCAGCTCGTGGAGTACAATACAATACAATACAATACAATGTTCTTTATTTTGAGAGGGTAGATACATGATTAACCCAGTAAAGAGTTTTCTAACACATGGCCCTCTACTTGCAGCTCGTTTGAAGACGTTGATTCCGCTGTTGGCCATTGTTCCACTAGCGAAACAAGCTGTTGGATGTGGCTGATTGCAGTGCTAGCAATGGACTGAATAGAAGCGGGATCGTTGTTGGAATGGTTTGAAGACGCCATGTTTGTTTCAGAAAGCGCATGGCAAGAGCTTCGCCGCAGAGGCTTATGGGACATTTGCCAAAACTACGAAAAAATAATTATGACTAACAAAAAAATAATTTTCGAATGGAAAAAATTAAATTATCATTACATTGTGAGTTGCGTAAGACAAAATCAATTAATTATCCAAAAAAAATTATCATAGCACACAAAAAACTAATCCGCAACCGTAAAACAATTTGTGTAATGGACAAAAATAATTTCAAAGAAGCGTAATAATAAAGACGGGACATAAAAAAATTAATTCCTGGTGAGGAAAAAATAATTGTGACGCATGGAAAAGTTAAAAAGAACACGAAAATAATTACAGGCATAGGAAAAAATAATTACAAACAGACAAAATATTAATAGCAGGTACTCATCAAATTAATTCATCAAGAGGGAAAAATTAATCATGCAATTTTGACCAGAACGGGCCTTCATAGGGAAGGGTGTTCGCCGTTAACATTCGGCTGGCTCAAGGATTTTCACTTCCTGCTTTTTGTAGCATTTAACACACAGATTGTTGAATGGAAGAAAAGAAACTGAAGGAGACTAGATAGTGATGTTCGCTGGCTAACCTAACTATCATTGCATTATGCCGTTTTGTGTAGTTTTGGGTCCGTCTTAATTGACCGTTGCAAGAAGGTTTAGTTAGGTTGTTGGCGGTATAGAGCTTTATGCGCTGGTCGTGAATCGAGTTCACGATCGGATCGGATCGATCAGTTCGGATGTTTTAATTACCCTCGATATCGAGCTGGTAACGTGACTCTTTCAAAGTTCTTTTTGCCACCAAATTAGAAATGAAAACAAAAAATTTCCAATACCTCATCTTAGTGTCATACTTAGCCAACAACTTTCTTTGGGCGTCCCTGGAATATGGACTATCTTTTCGATTTGTTTCGCATGTATTTCTATTTTTATCATCATCCGCAACAACTAATTTGTAACGTTTTTCTGATTTACTCTCATTGATCTCAGGTCATCATATCATTTCGAGTATGCCGATTATATTGATAAGAATTGTGTGATACTGAGCAGTTTTATCTAAAGGGATCCCGGAAGAACTGCATTTAAGCATTTAAGCATGCGAAGAAAATGCATTACCCATAACCGGGATTTGATATTACTGAGTGCCTCCTTGAAGAGATGGATTTATTTCCTACCCAAAAAATATCATTAACTGTACCAACATAGA